TAAGAATAAATATCATAAGAATAAAATATCACGACGCTCGTTTGTGGTACACGGAGAAAATATTATAGTTTTTTTTTCATGTAAATTCCTATCAACTTTACTATGTTTTTAGTAGTCCAGGAATAGACTGTTATTAAGATCTATTTTGCTAAGAAACATAGTGAATATCGCTGGAAACCTAGCAAGTTTTAACAGAAACTTCAGTTCCTAAAATATAAATAGCACGTATGAAATGGAAGAATAGTAAATTACTGCAAAATGTCGATCCATATTCCTCGGTTACAAAACCCTGTAGCAATATTTATTATATAAAATACTATCTCCGTATACTTTGAAAATACGCGCGAAGTCCTTGCGCATTTTTTTCGAGCGTAACCTCAGAGGAAAACGAATGTGGTGCTCGAAATGGAAATCTTAACAAAGAGGAAAAAATGATCGGAGAGTCAAGAATATTCTCATCTCAGTATGTGCTAATGCACTGTGACGTCAAGGCGCAATATATCTCGTGCACCAACACCATTAGCATAAGCATGTGACTGGTGTGGAAGCGATCGGCTGCTCGCATCGCGACTGTCACGTGTGAGCTGTGTGCCACGAAAAATGACAGTCTTAAGACGAAGAGCGGCGAAGTACGACAGTCGAATTGACGTAATCGCGACGGGGAAGTCGCGAGCGATCTTCGCACGAGTCAATTGTCCGTTGAGAAGTGCCGCCATGAAGAAAAAATCGTGATGCGGCCAGTGAGCGCTCAGGAATGATCGGGCACGTTGTTTCAGCGCCGTGTCTCGATTAAAAATTCTTTTGTGATACGAAATTGTTATTAACGAGATATACTGAGAATGCCCGTGTTGAATAATGCCGTGCGTGACACATCAGTTATCGCGCGAGATTAAATCAATCGCTTCTTAGAGGAAATATCGTTCGACGATACACGGCTCTAGCTATCAACTGACCAGTAAAAAAGTGTCTGTTCATTAGTAATTAAGGAATATGTGATAGATTGCAACGATACTGCTTGAATTTCATTAGGTACTTTAGAAGAAATTTCTATATAATAAGTAGCACTTGAAATGAAGAAATGTGAAAAATCATGGCAGACAGTTAGTGCCAGCAGTAACAAGTAACAGTTAGTGACATTGATTGTGCATTTTCTAAGTCGTTTTCTTTTCTTTCTACATTACTACTTCGCCAGAGACGAAAAGCTTCTTTTCTTTTCAGGCGTCAAAAGAATTTGTTTTGGACATGCGTTGGATGAAGATAACATGAGGTTCTCGTGCTTCCCGAGAGCCGCCAACATCCTCGGGAAGAGGGGTAGCATTAATCTCACCCCTCTTCCAAGCAACGACGAGTCCAACAATATCGGCAATCTAAGCGTAGTAAGTCCTGATTCAACGACCACTCGAGCAAAATCTAACTTCTCTCTGCGTCCTGTTGCAGAATGGAAGCGCAAGGAATGCGATTATCGCTACCTACAAACAATCCGGTGAACCAGACCTGACACATGGTGTAGTAAGTTCTTACGTTATTTATGAACGAATCGCCAATTACAAGAGACATAATTTCTGGATAAAATTTTTAACCAAAATTAAGCTTTTAGAAAGTAAAAAAGTAAATTTATCAAGAAACAAAATATTTCTTTCACAAGCGCAAAACATTGATTTATAACTTACTGAATGCTTCTTTAAAATTTTATTAATTTTTTATTCAAAAATTTGAAAAAATTTATAGATACCATTATCAACAGAGAAATGAAATGATGGAATTAAGATAAAAACGTTAATTCCCGGATATGTATCTAATCTTGGACATCCTCGTTATTTTTGTTCTTTAAATTTTAAACTTTCAATATAAAATATACAGAATCTGACAATTCATGATATATCCGTTGTGTGCAAGTAGAGAATTCATCAAATTGAAAACATTGTAATTTTTACTATCTTTCCAAGCTACTTTTTACCATTTTGAAATATTAATATTCTGGAGTAATCAAATAACTATATAAACGTCCTGATTTAAGATATCTTTCACACTGTTTTTCGATATCTGTTGTTAATAGATACGACCCTTGCCCGGCACGACGACCCAAAATGGCATCGGTCCACCGTCGTCGAGCTACTATCATCGGTGCGCTTCAAAGTCCAAAGCACCTCCACCGTCTCAAGATAATCACGTTAATAACCTCCACATACATCAAGAACAATCCGAACTGGAAGATGCAGCTACAACGGAAAATAGTGAACAACTCGTGAGCAATCCAAGAGGTGGCGTCATCGGAAGGACACCGACGCCACCCTCAGCACCCACCCCCGTGTACGAGAAAGATGCAAGGTATGTATGTGTGGTCAGAATATTAGTATCATGAAGAAACTCTGTGCATCGTGTCTACTGCTTTTCCTGCCCATTCGCAGGAGCGCGAGGCAAATCAAACGCGCCATTCTGGAAAACGAGTTTCTGGGTAATCTGGAGGAAAATCAAGTGGAGACTCTCGTCTCCGCCATGTATCCAAAACAAATTCCAGTTAGTACTCTAGTCATCCGAGAAGGTGACATAGGTACGCCTCATTGACTGTCATCAATGATTAAACAATGAAAACGTTATATAATAGCGTTGATAAGTCACGATTGATATATCTGATTATGAGCTTATATGCACGTCGTTCATTCACAGGTTCGCATCTATACGTATCGGCGGAGGGAGAATTCGATATTTACGAGGGCAACAAGTTCCAGAGGAGCTTCGGACCCGGAGTTGCATTCGGGGAGATCGCCCTGTTATACAACACGAAGAGACTTCGATCCATTAGTGGTAAGGAAAAAAATTATTAAAGACTAAAAATCATAAGCATCTGCTCGATGAATAAATTCGATATAATGAAAGAAACTTTTTAGTTCTAAGTTTAGATCTAAATATCTAAACAATAATCTACGATATTGACTGATATCGATTAATTGATATTGATCACAATTTTCCACGATATATGAATTAATTAATAATAGAGATTAATAAAGATATTGCTTGTTGAATGAACATTTGTGTGGTTTTACATTTCAGTAAAGAAAGGTGGAAAAGTATGGGTGCTCGACAGATCAGTATTTCTCACTGTAATGATGAGGTCGGCTCAGGAACAGTTGGAAGGCAACATCCGCTTCCTCAGGCGCGTTTCCGTCCTCCTGAAGTTACCTGAGCCAAAGGATCACGTGCTCGCAAAGATATCCGACCTTATAAGAGTGGTAAGCGCGAAGAAGGAGCATTAACCTCTGCCAAACATTTACGTTCACAAAACATGGAAAAAGATCACTTCTTAAACAGATATTGTAGTAAAATGTCGCGTATTTGTAGGAATTCTTCCCAGCTGGCGCCAGAATAGTACGGCAAGGCGAGAAGGGTGAAAAGTTTTATATAATAAGCGGTGGCAATGTACGCATCACGAAGGACACCGAGTACGGAGGTGAAGAAGAACTGGTAGTCCTCGGCAAGGGACGATACTTCGGTGAAAAAGCTCTCTACGATGACGAAGGAGAGAATCGTCGACACGCGAATGCAATCGCACTCGCTCCTGGTGTCGAATGTTTGACATTGGACAGATCGTGAGTTTAATTCCTACATAGTCTCTTTAGATTTCGTTTATTATTCCGTTAGGCCTTTGTCGAAATTTCTTTTGCCTCGATTAGAAATTGAAACTAGAACAAGCTTGGAGTACAATCATGAAAATATCTACCTCAAACACTTAAATTGCTTATAATTTGTAAAAAGCACCACGATGAAACTTTATTTTACAAATCCATGTTACTTAACGGTATTTCCAAAAATTTAAGATTTATTTTAAATCTTGACTCGTACTTGCAAGAGTTGCAAGCTGCGCATTAAGAATTTGTTATATCCAAGCTCATCTCGAAGTCCACTTCGTTAGCAAAGAGAACATTCACATTTTATTTATTTAATTCACCGATTAATAAAAACAATCGCTAATTGATAATTTGGACATCCCATCAATTAAAATGGAAACGTTATATGGAACGTTATAATTTGAGAAATGCAAATGCCAGGTCGTTCCTCAACTATTTGGGCAGTCTGGATGAAATTCGCAACAAAGACTGGCTGGCGGAGTACGAGAAGCAAAAACGTTCGTTGACTCCAAAGAAGTGGACTAACGAGTACTCGAACTTGACCTTGGCCGATCTAGAAACGAGAGGAACCTTGGGGGTAGGTGGTTTCGGCCGAGTCGAGCTGGTCACGCTAAGATCCGATCCCGAGAAGAGTTTCGCGCTGAAAAAACTCAAGAAGAAGGCCATGGTTGAGCAACAGCAGCAAGAGCACGTGCTGAACGAGAAACATATTATGCAAGCGTGTGATTCAGCATTTGTATGCAAGTAAGTCGTCACTGAGATTTTCCGCGACGTGAGTTCGCGACGGCGAATCATTGCCACTCCAAGGTCAAAGTCCACGATTTCTCCATCTGTCTATTTTGCAGACTTTATCAGACTTACAAGGACAATAAGTACGTCTACTTCCTGATGGAAGTGTGCCTCGGCGGAGACGTGTGGACGACCCTACAGAGAAGGCGGCACTTCGACGACGTCACCACGCAATTCATGGTAGGCTGCGTGGTGGAAGCGCTCGATCATCTTCACTCGCTAAACATCGTCTATCGAGATCTCAAACCAGAAAATCTTATGCTCGACGCTCGCGGCTATTTGAAACTGGTGAGTGACATAACGCTTCGCTATCAATCAGCACGGTTTCTAATTATACGAAAATAAAGCCAATCAGTTGCATTGAGAAGAAATATTTGAAAAATAAAAAGTATTTATTCGGTGGATACTAATAACATACTTACTTTAATTTAAATTTATTCTCCAGTAAAACACTAACGACTGAAGATTTTACAAACAACTTTCTGCGACAGGTGGACTTTGGCTTCAGTAAGAAGATCGGACCGGCCAAAACGTGGACCTTTGCCGGCACTCCCGAATACGTCGCGCCGGAAATTATTTTAAACAAAGGACACGATAGGTAAGAGATCCCAGTTCACACTTCGTCTTACTGATTTATTCCCATCAATTTTTACGTCGAGCTCAACTGTGATTTTGACAGGGCGGTGGATTATTGGGCTCTCGGTATCCTAACACACGAATTGCTCGTCGGCAAGCCACCTTTCCGAGGATCCGATCACATGACCACCTATAACAAGATCTTGAAAGGCATCGAGATGGTCGGTGTACCGAGCATCGTCAACAAGAATGCCAACAATCTCATCAAGAAGCTACTTCGTCTGAGTCCTTCGGAACGACTGGGCTATCAACGAAACGGTATACAGGACATTCGCGATCACAAGTGAGTTCTCGAAAACTTATAAAGGAACAACATAAAAATATCTCAAGAAATATTCTACATAATTCACAAATATTGAAGAAATATTTCTGCAATGACACTTTTTAACACAAAAGATATTACACGTCATATAAAACGCGGAAATTTTTAATATACTCAAATAATATCAATTCTCATCTTTCTTGTTAACAGATGGTTTTCCTCATTTAACTGGCAGGCTCTTCAAAGATTAGCTCTACCAGCTCCCATTGTACCCACGGTAGGCTCATGACGACTACGTATCGTTATTTTATGTTACAAAACTTGACGAAATAGAACTAATCATTCGAACAATACGAAATAATCTGTGCAAGCAAACTTCACTTTCTTTAACAAAAACTCATTTTGTCCCAATTTTTCAGGTGCGCAATCAACTCGACACGCGGAACTTTGAGAGATATCCGCCGGACCGCGATATACCACCCGACGAATTTTCCGGCTGGGACATCGACTTCTGAAGATGAATCATGGACGTAACAGATTTCCTCTCTCACCCTTCCAACGTCGCTGAATAATAGATATAAGAACAATGGGATCTTAAAGCAGTTGTTATTAAAATGCGTTTATGCTGATCATTTACGATTTTTAGGCAAAACCACTAAATAACAATTGCACCGATGCAATTTCGAGATGTAAGAATGAATAGATTTAATTATCCGCGTGAGCGTCAAATTTGACAACGTTAATAACAATTCGATTGCTAACTATCTCGCAAAGAATTCTCATTTGACTGGCTTTGATTATAAAAAAAAAACTCTTATATTGTTTTCCTTCTAAAAGATCGTTTTGAAGGTAACATAAACATCGCGAATTATTATTATTATTGTTATTATTCGAGGTGGTTTCGCTTCTTCCCGCTGATAAGTGATACGCTAATTTTCTCATGTAATCCTCGACTGGATCTGTAATGACCGACTAACCCGTAAGAAATAATTTGTTAAGATATGAGAAATGATTATTACTTCTTTATAAGCAATCATTGAGATTCTCCAATATACTATAGATTAGAGATGAATATACGTACTTCTTCTAACGCGATACTCCGTCATCGTTATACGGAAAAACAAATCATACGATATTACATCTTGTACTATATCTCTCCCAATCGTGAAAGAAATCTTAAGCCTTCGTAATCTGAGCTTAAACTCCTCACTACAACGGTTTGATCGCACGAAATATCGATATACGTACATGTAGTTAAGTAAAAGAATAACGTCACGTATTTTCAAATAAATAATTTTGTAACTACCAACAGTGTTATGGTATCAGATATTTTCTCGCTCGTTAATCTCAAAACATCGTAAATTCTCTTATTAGTTTTAATTTTTATTCTCTATTATCATTATAATTGTATACTTGCCTCGTCCATCATGAAATAATTAATAATGACGTGTAAAATTTTTAGCGGAACTTTTTATTTTTTTTTAAATATACAATATAAAACTATATTATTAACTATATTAAAACTATTATTTCTCAATTTACACGACTACGCGCATACAACATTGTTTATCTTATCTTATTTGGAATTTTAGCTTCCTTCTTAATGATTTTTATTACGTGTTTATCTTTTTTATCAAAACGAATATTGTATTGCGACATTAATGTTAATAAATTGGTTGCATAGAAGAATGCGTATAACAACACGAAACGCGTCACACAATTTATCACACGTTTTATTGAGTCGCATTGCAATATTATCGATCTTATCAAACATGTGATGGTACACGGACAATAACGGAAGTGCCAGCCTTCATAAATTTCTGTCGCTATCCAACATAGATAAGATCTGCCAGTACTGCAATTGCATCGATCAATCAGTCAACTACTGATATCGCGTGCAGCGCAACGTAGACCGAACTCAGGAAAACCAGGTGAATTTTCGCGATTTTCAAAATTTAATTTCTAGAATTTAATGTAATTTGCGGTAAAAATATATACGAATAGAATGTAAATAAAACTCTCATTGCAGACGAACGTATATTACAAGCAAGATGCATACACTCTGCTTGCGAAAAACTTTTCGTGCCACGGTCAAACTCGGACGACTTAAAAACCTTATCTCTCACAATGACAGCGACCAGTTTTATCGAACGTTAACCCACCAGCGCAAACGAGGTATTCTAGGCGAAATCGATGTGTCGCTGGACGAAATCCCCCGCTTCGAAAAGGACTCAGAGTACAAAACAATTTACCACTTACTACTAAAAAACCTTGAAAAAATTAACTCTGCAGTTTAAAAAATGCTTATCTAGTTTAAAAATCTCTATTAGTTTAAAACATGTTTATCAAGAAGTTAAACTAATTTTTTTCAAATTCCAAACATTTTTTTTTTTTTTTAATCTGAAATAAAATTTAATCTGAAAATATTTTTATACAAAAGGTATTGATTAATTTGAACAAACATTTAATTCTCAGATATCTAAAATTGTATATGCTTTGGATAATTTGATATATCTTGATTTTTTCAAGTTTGGCAAGAAGAACTGAGTTGCCGTAACACTGAAGTCTTCGAGTAAAATTCATATCTTCTGTTGTATGCTTCGCAGAACGCAAAACCGACTCAAAATTGCTATTCGAAAAAACAAATTTCTGGGAGATCTCGATGAGATTCGTATCCAGGAGATCGTTTCAGCCATGTATCCCAAATCAGTCAAAGGGCAGACGCGACTCATCCACCAGGGCGAAACAGGCAAGTGATAACTAGTCGAAAGATATTACGATTGTAAAATTCGCGTATCGTTTAATTGCATCAGATGTCAATACTTGAAACGAGTATTTGTTCACGACGAGTCTGACACTTAATTAGTATGATATAACTGAACTATTCGTCTACGATATTTTCAGGATCTCACTTGTACGTCTCGGAGAAGGGAAACTTCGAGATATACGTGAACAACACATTCTACGGGAACTTTGGACCCGGAGTCGCTTTCGGAGAGTTGGCATTGTTATACAACACAAAAAGATTGAGCTCTATCGACGGTATTGACATAATTGAGTGATAAAATTCATTACTTCTCTTAATCATCGTTATTTTCACGATTAAGCGATTCCTCCACATTTTTCTACTTTCCTTTTTCGGAGAGAAGGCAGAACTCTGTTATTATTAGCGTATATAACGTAATGTGTGTATCTCTCGCGAACATTGTCTCAGCATTTAACATGGACAAAATTTGCGATCGCAGTGGTAACAGACGGCAAGGTTTGGGTCTTAGACCGGAAAGTCTTCGTTGCTATAATGCAGAGGACCGATGAAGAATGTACGCAACACAATTTACAAGTTCTCCGTCGTATCTCCGTGCTGCGAACGCTTCCCGAAGAGGTTCTCGCGAAGATGTCCGACTTGATAGTTGTGGTACGTAAGCTACACACGATCGTGCGCAATCGTTCTCTCTTTAGTTGCGGTTTTTCTAAGATTACTTTCTAAGATTTCACCAAGATTTATTATTTTCGAGTGAAAAAGATCGATGAATGTTATTACGTCAGGAATTTTATTCATCTCATTCGTACATCATACGCGAAGGAGACCCGGGAGATAAGTTCTTTATAATAAACGGCGGTAACGTCAGGATTACGAAGACTACCTCGTATGACATAGAGGAGGAAATGATGGTGCTCGACAAGGGAGATTACTTCGGCGAAAAAGCACTGTACGACAACGGCGATACTAAACGACAAGCAAATGCTATCGCTTTACCACCTGGCACCGAATGCTACACGATCGACCGACAGTACGTCTTTATATCAACCATGTCGTTACACTCTACATTCGAATGTCATATCTATTTCTCACCTACTCATTTTAGTGGATTCGATAAAAAATTTAGTTAGTAAAAAATTTGATTAGTAAATTTAGTCATTTAATGACTAACGAATTTGGCTTAATGTTCAACCAATCACACGTCAAATAAAAAGAGATAATTGAGAAAATGAGAGGTATGAGAAAATGTATATACATTTTTATTCAATTAACACAGATCCTTCTTGGATTACCTCGGCGGTTTGGAATCAATTCGTAATAAAAACTGGCAAATCTATCGGCGACCAACACTCACCGATACCTGGGATCACGAGTTTCGCAATCTCTCGCTGACAGATTTGGAGATTATCGGGACTATAGGCGCCGGTGGTTACGGCAGAGTCGAATTGGTGGCCGTCAACTCAATACCGAACATCAGCTACGCCCGAAAAAAAGTGCGAAAAAACATGATCACAATGAGAGGATACCAGAAACTGATCTACAACGAAAAACAAAACCTGAGACTATGCAATTCACCTTTCATCTGCAAGTGAGAAGAATCTGTCTTGCTCTCCTATCTTTCTCTTTATTTCTTTAATGAATTTGGAAAATTAATGCTGCGTGTTAGCTTGCAATATTAAGTTGCCAAAATATTAATTTTGAATATTAAAAATATTAAAAATTATTCCATCTTTATTTTGAAAATATTTGAACTATATATTAATTTTGTAAGATCCATATGCTAATATATTAATTTTTTCCATTTTTCTAATTTGATTTTGATAAGTTTTACCCCAAATTAATTCACTCCAATTTTCACATTTAAACAAAAGAATATTTCATTTATCCTCTATTTTTACTTTACAGATTATATAGGACGTTTAAGGACAACAAATACCTCTATTTCCTAATGGAAGCATGCTTGGGTGGTGATTTGCGAACAGCTCTGTACCGAAAAGGTACAGGATTCGACAATTCCACCGCCCAGTTTATCGTCGCTTGCGTCGTGGAAGCGCTTGATCACCTTCACACACTTGGCATTATTTACAGAGATTTGAAACCCGAGAACATCCTAATTGCCAATAATGGCTACATTAAACTGGTACGTTTAAATGATTGTTATGTGATATTTTTTTAAATAAAACACTTTAAATAAAACACTTTACTTCTTTCGAGCACATCAATTGCCTGTGCAATTAACTATTCATTTTTATGTTAAATAATTATGTGCAATCTAAGTAACAAGCGGTGGAAATAAAACATGCCCTTTGTGTTATAATTATATATACCTATAATATATTATAAATATATGTGCAAAGATTAATAGTGACATAATTTTTGTGGCAGACTGATCTTGGTTCTAGCAAAGTGATAGGTGCTTACAAGACGACGACTTTTGTGGGAACTCCCGAATATCTAGCGCCGGAAATTATTCACGTTAAAGGATATAACAGGTAAATCTTTCTCTTTCTCTCTCCTAAAAATTCATTTCTGTTAAGTATTTCAATAATATCGATAAATCAACACGATTCGCGTATCACAATTAATTATCTTTACTTTCACTTGTAAAGGGCTGTGGATTATTGGGCCTTAGGAGTCCTAGTATACGAACTACTTCTCAGCAGAACGCCCTTCCAGGACACAAGCGACTTAGAAATATGTGAGAAGATTCTAAAAGGATTCGACGACATTCGTATGCCGAGTATAGTAAAAAACACCGCGAAGAATTTCATCCAACGTCTTCTACAGTTCGACCCTACAAAGAGACTCGGTTATTTACGAAACGGAGTCATGGATGTGCGAAATCATAAGTAAGCATTTTCTTTTTATGTAAAACGAACATCCAATGCAAATTTTATATTTATACGATTATGTAAGATTCCGACTTTTAATATATTGATTTTATTGCTTGAATGAAACTAATATTATTGACAACAAGTTCTCCTAGTTTTTATGGCAATTTGATTTACGAACAAGCCTCAATAAATCACTAATACGATAATTTATTTTTTCAGATGGTTCAATAATTTTAACTGGCATGCATTGCAAAATCAGACAATATCTTCTCCTATAAAGCCATCGGTAAATGAGTTTATATTAATTCACATATTAAATCATACAGGATGCTCATCATAAAAGTCGCCGCAATTTTTGAGCCACTTTAAATAGTTTAATAAGAAAAATAATAAAAAAGTTGGTGACCTTTAATATATGTTTCAACAAAAAATTTGAAGATTTTTTGACAGAATTAACTTTTTTCTTAAGAAAATAGCAAGTACGTTTTAACATTTAAAAAGAAACATATAATTTTTTAATAATAACGAACTAACGAATAATAGAGAACTTCAAAATAAATTTAAAAAAGTTGAAAGTGAAAGTGAGCACCCTGTATATGAAACTAATATCTTGGTTGCTCTAACAAGTGGGATGTGTGCGTGAGCGTTTATCTATATATATATATTTATAGAATCGATATCGTTAATAATCAATAAAACTATACTACGAACGAAATTATATTTCGTTTTCAGATAAAATATATTTTGTTTTCAGATAAAAAACCACTTGGATATAAGGAATTTCGATAGATATCCTCCAGATCGTGAACCTGTATCGAACGATTTTTCTGACTGGGATACCAACTTTTAATTATAAGAAACTGTATATGTGTGGCAATGGAATAGAGTAAGACTATGCAACGATGAGGTAATAACTATTACTACCTTGAATATCTTCAAAATATGAAAATGGGAGAAAAATTTATCTCACAGAAATTATATGACGACTCTCATCACATCATAAAACGGTTTTCTATATACTACCACTTCTGTATCACATAATCTCTATTAGATAAATTTTTTTATATTTCGTAATTACTCAAAATAATAATAGTTATTACTTTATTCTGTGTATTTTAAATATAAGAGATTACTCTCTTGATATACTAACATGTACAAATGTAATTCTATTTTCCTCATATAAAGATCACACATATGTAATGTTATTGTAACTTGAGAATCTAAACTAACAAATATCTAGTCCTAAATATGTTAAATGTAAAAATTTAGAATATGAATTTCTAGATATATTTTTTATTTACTATAATGAAATGTAATTTTTAAGTAGTCTGCGAGTTCATTTTGCTATATGATTACAGAGAAATCAATCAATATCTGAATGAGTTAAAAATATTAATTTAAAAGAAAAAATATTTAAAAAGTAAAAAATATTTGTTTGGTGAATGTTTATCACATATTTACTTAAATCTAAATTTTTTAAATGTTTGTTTAAAAATGATAAACAATTGCTTCTATAAAAAGTAATGATTTTAGGAAAATGTATATTTCATTTGAAAAAAATATTTTTTCAACGTAAAAATACATATATTAATATAAGTGAATATGTCATTATAGTAGTAAATATGTCATTATTTACCGAATAATTATTTTTTATTTTTTACATAACTACACACTGTGTGCAACTGTACACAGAAAAATGCATACTGAATTCAAATAAATGTTGGTTTCTAACTTGTTTCAAATATTTTATAAGTTTATATGTTCACAAATCTATTCCAAGTTTATCACAAGAAATTAAATTCACTCCAAATATATTCTGAATCCTAATAAGTTTAGTACTTCAATAAAAAATATTAAATTAAAATTTCTAAAACTTATGATGAGTATATTTGGAGACTATTAACAATAAAATATTCTTTGTTGAAGTTAATTATTACTTAAAAGAAAGAAAATAGACTGAATAATTGATGTTTTTAGCAGTAATATGCAATATTTTCTGCATGTATTTTTCTGTATCCTGCTTGCAATTAAATATTCCTACTTATATATATACTATTTTTTTTTTTTAGTATATATCACCACTAATCTTCTCCATTTATACATGAATAATTAATATTAAAGCAAACAATGAATTACTATTAGAGACTATCGACATTAATTAAAGTTGTATGTATTACTATTAGAAGAGAGCCAAGAAGAAAGAAGAAAGCAACGTAATGTTGAAAATGTTAGAAATAATTTCAAGTTTATCAGTTGTTTACTGCAACATTACTAGTTATTCTTATTTGCGTAAGAATGTCTTTAATAGTATCTCATATTTTATCATTGCTTGGGACTAGTTTTATCTGAAAAATATTAAAATTTTATTACAAACCTCAAATATATCAAAGATTATATTATAAATATATAAATGTTGTCAATATATGTATCGTAAGAGAAATCTTTAATATTTATTTCAAACACATGTAACATACAAAATACTGTATTTTGTGTTCTTTATTGTTTACATTGTATATATTATTAGTTCCAAGCAAAATATCTTTCTTCTTTCATTTGCTTTTTATTCATGTATATGTAATACTCTTATAATGTTCACACTTCCTACTTATGTACTGCATAGTGATATATTAAACATACATTTTCGTGAAACAACATTTTGTAATTATCATCCATGTGTACATCACATATCCAAACAATAATAAAAAGCAGTTGCGAGAATTGTCTCATGCTGCATTAGCGCTACGATATACGAATATTACAGAATCGATAAGATACCGACAATATCACTGTGCTGCCATTCAACGGACGCTTGCGACAACTTTACGTACGAAAATTGCGCGCTAAATTTCCCGCCAAGTGCGACTCTTGTGTGTATATATCTCAACATACGATGCACGATTATTGTACGATTTTTACATCGACTATTAGACTCAACATCCCTATCTCTATACTAGAGGAATTATTTTATACTCGATTTAAATTTAAAAGGTCAGTATACAATACGCAAGAGTCGCAGATACGATATCTGTTGCAACTCCTCTGCTTTGCTAACCTTAACTCACCGATTTTTCTCTACGCAGGAAACAACAGTGACCGACGATACGTCGCAGACAAGGAGCTTCTCCTTCGGCAGCTTGTGTCGGGAGAGCACAACGATCTCCAAGCTCCGTCATGACGTTGCGGACGCGCGATAACTTATCTGACCGACCGTTTCGTGAAATGTCGACTTTCGGTAGCTACTCGACCATACTTTATCGCGACACACGCGCGAAACCTACTTTCAATACTCTCGGCAATAATTCGCGCGCGAGTCTCACCTACAACGAGCCGAAATCCCGAAAAACACGGAGCGACTGTCCGACTTCGTACTGCCGTGTCGTGATCCGTTCTGAATGAACTCAACAGCGGCTCAGTTTCTCTCTCGAAGTTCAAACGCGCGGAACTTCACTCGGTACTCTTAACCGCCATTTTGCGAGACATTCCTTTCCTAGGACTGTTAGATATTTTGTCACGACGACCGTATGAAAATTATTTCCGAGTTTAACGCGTGAATCTCGTATTGGCGAGTCGGAAACGTAAAGATCTGAAAACGTCAATTTGCGTTACCTGCTTTAACGCGACATGAACGCGCGACACTTGTTGCTCGCTATTCCCGATGTGAGATATTTATTCCCGACGGCTGTTCAACGATGCCTTTTATCGCGACAATACGCAGAATTTACTTTCGACATACCTAGCAATAATTCGCGGGCAGGACTCATCCTTAGTAAGCTAAGCTCGGGGGAACTACGGAACGACATTTGCACTCCGCACGCCATGTTGCGATTCGGTTGGATTTCAGTTGCGAGTTGACTATTGCAACGTTCGAGATTCTCGAAAGTATCGATATATCCTCGATATCGATATATGCATCCATCAGATTGCGATAATTCATTTATTTATTTACCGTGCAATTAAACAAAGAGATCCTGCCCCATAAAAAAGATTTTATTCATTTGCTTTCTAGTCCTTAATCTATATAAAAAAAGAAAACAATTCATTGATTTATTAAATTTACATATCAAAAGCATGCAAAAGAGATTGTCAAGGCATAATATTCGTGAAATATATAATAAATTATTAAAATATTCGTTTTCTCTTAATAAATTTTAGATCACTGGGCTTTTGAAACAAAATCGTGCAAGTTTACAATAATTTCACGTTGTTTGACGAAGTTCAATGTCGGATCATGATTGTTCATCCTGTCACAGGAGGTGAGTTCTTTCAAATCATCTGAAATGTCAGAAGAATCGAGTGACAGACGACTGTTTTAGCGCATCATAAGCTCATATGAGGACAATTAAACGCAATACCTTCGTATATTCATAATTAAGCTACATTCGTTTTGCACGCTTTCGTGCTGAAAGCATTACTCTATCTTGATCGCTTATTACATGCCGAAAGAAGATAAGAAAATGTTTTCGTCACGGAATCATGCAAAACAAACTTAACCTTAGTGCCACCGTTGCAACAGGTGTATAAAGCCGTATCACATTTCCGTACTTCGGTAAGTCTGCACTTTTCCTCTTAAAATGTGTAGTGTTGAATCGATTCACATTGTCAGCAAGCCTATTAACGTGAAAAGATACAGACTTGTTATCGTGAGAAGATATAGAATAGATCTACAGATAAAATCACTACTAACGGAATGTTACTAACCTCTTTGGCTCGAGCATCAACTATAGCCGAATCGTTTCCCATTTAACAATAATAGATCCTAAATTAATGCTTGATTGTTTCCATCATCTAAGTATCGATAGTCACGAAAATTCTCATATATAAAGCCGTCAGTTTCTAATATTATTGTTAAATTGTTTATTATGGGTTGTACGAGAGAGAGAAAGAAAGAGAGAGACACATTTCATTATTTAGAAAAATAAGCGCTTTTGAAAACCGCGCCAACGGCTAGTTCACGGTTTGCACAATTGCTGCAAAATGGGGGGAGCAGCGCGCGTTGCCATTGGCTGACGCAGCTCCCTGCCGCTTGGCGTCGCGATCAGTCAGCTGTGCGTAGGGGCGCGCGCAGTCACCAGTCGCCATTCGTCCGTCGTGGAAAACGCGGGTATGTGCAAATGGCGTCGTCGTATCATAATGAACGAGAGTGTGCCGTGCAATAACGCGTACCAGCCTCGTCCTGGGCGTCTCGCAGCCCAGCTTGACGACGAGAGTGAACGCAGTGACGGTTCAGTTATCGGACAAAGGGTGGCATAATCGACGGACCTTCGCCGACGTCGCCATCGTCGCCGTCGTGATCGTCGTCGTCGTCGTCGTCGTCGTCGTCATTGCGCAGCTACAAACGACGACAGAGGCAACGGAAGGTGGTGACAAAGCGGTGAGAGCAGGTCCAGAAGGTGAGTGACAAACAATGATAAAGCACTTGTTTTTATGCGTGCACTCGCGCATTCTTGGAGCATTTGTAAAGCGGGCGCGATCGTAGCGCGTCGATCGTCGCAACATCTGGTGCCCGATGTTGATCGGGCGTGTTTCCTCGGTCGTGCGGGAGTAAACAGTCGTGAACGCGCAAGTCGTCGGCAACGGCGGAGCCGTCGTGAACTTGGCGAGGACTCAGCCGCGTTTATTTACTACGTGCGAGCGAAAGAGACAGCGACGCGAATGGGCGGGAGGGAGAGAGAATGTGTCATGTGTGGGAAAGAGAAAGATGGAGAGTTTGAGACGAAGAACGACGTTAAACGAACGCATGAGCGATTTCCATGGAATGCGAGATAAAAATCGGAACTGCGTCGCGTCGTGATAAGAAGACGCTGACGTATACGCGATTAATTCCAATTTCTAACAGAACTGCTGGATCGTTTGCTCCTCGAATGGGTAAAAAGAGACAGAAGGAGGAGGAGGGAAGTAGCATAGACAGAGAGGAGAACGATAACATGCGAGAATGCAAGCGAGAGGGAGCTCGTGTGTACATAAACGTCCGTTCAGTCGCACGTTTCTGCACTTTATTTCCTTCTATTCTGTGCTATTTGCCTCGGCCCAATCGCAAGTGCAGCCAAAACGAACGAACCTCTAGTTGCGCATTCGATCCCAAGATAGTGCTAAGATTAGGTCTGTATATTGACAATCGTCATTCTTGAATCATAACCTAACATTTCCACATCATTCCATTCGAGAGTTACAGATTGCTACTGTGAACGTTTCTGTGAACTTTACCCTCCAATTTAGCCTAACCTAGCTTGACCTAGCTCAACCTAACTTCTTCACCTTCCTAATGCAAACTCTTTGTTCCATTTTTACGATATAAAATTATATAATGTGGTGTTAACTGGCGAAGATAAAGATACCTCAATTGCTAGGAGGAGAACCTTGTTTATACGGAGGTAAATTTTTAAGGAGAGAGGTTCGTTGTTTTCGTCACACGAGTCGTACAAATATTATTGGGCTCGCTTACGTATCATAATCGCTGATTAATGTATCGAAAAGCTGCAGACCTGCAACGTGGTTAACGGACTGCTTTTTCCAGTGTTATTTACAACGCCAATAGAAAAAAGAGAAAAACACATACATAGTCGGCTGTTTTGAAACGCAATCTCGCCGCGAAAGCAAATACTTCCGCGAATAGATGGCTCCTAAAATGTAAGATCACGTCTAATTTTCACGCCGCGTAATAGCAAAATTTTCCGCCGTCTGACCGGAGTCAGAAATAGCAACGTCGGTTTTTCCGACGAATCAGGCGGAGAAACGCCCGTAACGCTCCTCGATATCATAATCAACACCATAAGAATCACTATCCATATCCGGTTTAGATTTTCAGCGTTTCTTAGTCCCTAACGTTAGCGTCCCCTACGTGTCTCACGACATGTAAAAATATATTTTATCAATCGTAAAAATATATAAATATGTATATATATGTATATATTCCACGATTTCCATATATTGTTTTCATCGCTCGTTTTCGTCGCTCGCGACAAAAGCAAGTGAGAACGTACGGGAATGTAAACACTGACAAAAACGATCTGGACGGGCGGTCGCGTTTTTCTCATGCCTCTTACGTAAATTCTAACGTAAACGATAAGTACACTAATGTTATTGAGCCGCGATATTACACGCAATCGTTTTAATGCGTCAGCAAAAAGCGAGAGCAAGAAAGTAATGGTAAATAATGTAAATCTGTTCTTGCAGGCGGGATGTTCTTGCTGCGTTCGGACAAAAGAGAGAATAAATGTTTTTATTTATAATTTTTTAAATTACGTTTATCTATAATTTTTCGTGGTTATCAGGAAAGTTATCCGAAATCTAAGCGGCGCCCAAACGGTAATCGTTAATGAACAAATGGATAAGACATTTGGCTCCGTCGACGCGATACGGCCAACTCGAGAGGGTCAAAGAGCGTTTACGCGCTTCATAGATAGCGAAGGAATATCAGCCGGTGTATATTACGAGAAGATAGAGCTAGAAGAATGGCTCCCAATTCTAGAACTTCTTTTGTGAGATGACACCACTGATCTCTCGTGAAATTTGCATCTCGCGCAAAGCAAAATACTCTGAACCTAATTTTCATATCGCGAAGCGTAAACCTGTCCCGCGGTGCTTGTTTGTAGCTGGAGCGATAAAGATTTACGAGCAGCAAGTAAACGTCGCGGGCATTCCTGGCGAGCAAAGTAAATGGCTTGCGGCTAATGAGATCACTCTCGATGATTGATTTTGAAACAAAGTGAGGACGCGTACACACGAGGAAACACACGTGTCACTCGCGTAAATTTTCCTTGACTAGTCGAGCCATTAGTCGAGACTCGTGCACGAAAAAGGTCTCAGTTCGTGCAACTAAACTGAGGGGTCAAGTAAAAATTCGGCGATGTGAAATAACATTTCTCTGTTACTGAAACAATTGTCTGCACATTCAACAACAGAGCATTGTAGATCTAGGTTAAATAAAATAGTTTCTAAGTTAAAATTTATTGCTATTTTTTTGTCTCTATCTGCTAGGAAATTGTCTGTGGCACTTAGAATTTACAGCAGCAGTTATTTTAACAATATCTGCGAGCAAATTTAGATGAGTATAAGAATTATATACATTCGCTTGTCTCTCGTCATCATTGGTCTTTCTTGCCTGTTACAGTTACTTTTATAAGAAGTATGACTGGCCGTAATCTGAATGGACGTCACAGAGAGAAATTGTCTTGTTAAATTTCACGAATGGTTCAGATAGAAATTTTGTCTCTGTCATCTACATTGATTAATACAATATATATGCGATCGCAATGTTGATTAGTCACTCATTCCTATTAGTTAGATTCTCATATCTAGATAATTTTCATTATGACCGCAAGATCATTTTATTGAGTGTGCAGGAATCTTCCTGTTCCTACAATCGAGTTTGTTATCTAGTACCTAATCTTATCAAGCAACAAAAAATTCAGTTACATTAACAGAATAGATCTTTCTCGTGTGATGCAAAAATGCGAAACATTCTTCACGCCTTTGTGAAACCCCGCGGTATCGAGAACTCGTCCGCTGGAAAAGCGACGCGAGTCGTAGCGTAAGGTACTTGCGTAAGGTTGCTAAAAAAAAGCACGTGACCTTAGAGCCCAGTAGTGCGTAAGCGCGAGCTTACGGCAATCGACACTCCGATCGTGAGTAACTCAAAAGCGAGAAGGAGATAGAGAAATAGGCATATTGCGACAGACAGATGTTGCTCATCAGGGCGCCGTCCTAAGCGTCTGGGATCTTTTTCATAGCCGATGTTTATGACTGATAACGCGCGAAGAAAACTCGTGGATATAATTCCAACCGGTTGTAACGGGAAAAAGCGTCGAAACGCACGAATGTGTCGCGATCTCGGGGCCCATTCGCGGCGGCGAGCTTGCGTTCCGTAGTAAACGGGTCAGCAGGTCGAGTCGCCTCCGTTTGGAATTTCATCGCCACGTGGAACGAAGCACCGAAGAGATTGTATGATTTCTTCTGATTGCTGTTCCTCCTCTATTTTTCGACACGTCCGACTCGGAGGCGGGCGATCGACTACGACAGAAAAAGAAAGACTGCGTAGGTGATGTAAGTCGTGTCGATACACTCAAGAAAATATAATCTTATCTTTATCAGAGTCTTTTCACGTGTGGCCTCAAGAGAATTCTTCTAAGACAAAAGGAAAATATTTTAAACATAACATTCATAAGATTGGAGAAATTTTATTTTCTGTTCACAGAAAGTTTACATAAGTCTTGTTCTTAATGAAAATTTCTTCCATTAAGTTTTTTCTAAGAAAGTTCTGCTTCAAGTAAATATATTCCTGATTAAAAGGAAAATAAAATCATATCTAGTAGATTTTCCAATTAATAGTTCACTTGTCATCTATTTTAAACATTACATTTATAATTAACATCCAGAGCAGATAACAATTATCTCATAATTTAATTACTCTGTTTTGTGCATATTGTGCATATAATTTGCAATATTTTACATAATTTACATAGTCTACAGGAGAAAAGAAAGGCCGTGTATACATATCATATGTAAACAGTACGCAAATAACGTCCGCGTGGACGTAATCTCGAAATCTCGACACAATCCTAATCACAAAATTGGCTCCAATATATCAACATTTTTTAACGCAATCCATACCGCAACGAAGATCGGTTGAATAGAATTGAGAAGGGAATCGAGGCCTCTGCAGATGTAATTTTAAATTTGACGATTGCATTGGTTGAGGAAAATTGTTATGGCTCTTCCTAGGATGGCAAGATAAAGTAAGGATAATTAAACATTAGACGTCAAATAGAAACAATAAAACATAAGACGTCGAATCAAAAGTTTCTCTTTCATTTTCTCGGAGACATTAACGACGCCGAATTTCCATCTGATTGTCACACGCTACTTCTAAATAATATCTCGATGATACTCCTCCTTCTCTGTATATCCAAATTTTTTTATATTTTTTTATTTCTATTGGTTTTATTTGGTTCTCTGTTAATCTAATTCTATTCTTTATTCTTTCTTCTTTTTTCTTTCTTATTAGTTCTAGTAGTTTATGTAATTCTATTTAAATGCCAGTTATTCCTCAGTCAGTTTATTTATTATTTATTCGTTATATCACGGTCAATTTATTCATAGTACCGCACACGATTAAAAAAGGCGCTTTGCATCCGCTCGCGTTTGCTCGCAGAGGCCGCTTCGGAGGGGAATACATTTTTATAATAATAATATCTCTCTCCAGGAATATATCGATCGGTCCGTGCTGCAGTATTCTGTTTCACACGAAGAACTTGAGCGCGAATAGGAGAAACGTACGGGTGTCGGGATAAGAGTCGCGCATAGTAAAGAAATTTGTCGCGCATGATTGAGCAGATCAACATTTGATCGTGTGCCGGATAGTACGTAGGTTACACGTTCACGGCGAATTGTCCCGGCTACGTTTAACTCTAGCTGCCATATACCAAGCGCGAGGAGTCACTGACCATCGAGAATCCCGTCGGGCTTACCCTCGTTCAGGGAAAAAAGCGCGACCGTGCCGTGCGTTTTCGGCAATAAGGTCACTTAACATACGTATCACGCATCACTCACCGCGCGCGTTATCGCGACATTAACTTGTTAATTGCGAACGGACAGGAAGCCTGGCGCCATCGGGACTGTGAATTCTCGTGCCGCGTGGTGCAAAACTGACGCTACGATTATAAGTTGCTCAACATTTTCCCGGAGGCATTAACGGCGCCGAATTTCCATCTGATTATCACACGCTACTTCTAAATAATATTTCGAAGATACCTCCTTCCCTGTGTATCCATTTTTTTTTATTTCTATTAGTTTGATTTGATTTTCTGTTAGTTTATTTTATTCTATTCTTTATTCCATTCTTTTTTATTGTTTCTTTCTTATCGGTTCTAGTAGTTTATGTAATTCTATTTAAATGCCAGCTGTTCATTATTTCGCCAGTTGTTCGTGTTTTCTTGATGCTCCAAAAACTTTATTTATCTCATGAATTCACAGAATACTTGATTACTGCTACTATGTTGTTATTCGCAGAAATCCATAAGTCTCTTTGCTCTTGATTTTTTTATTAATGGTCATAAGGGCTCGGAATCACGCAAATATTTAAATTTCGCCAAGATATAATGTTCACGTGTGTCTCGCGTGTATTTCTGTCTTAAAAAAAAACAAACTGATTCATTTTTCATAGTATCAGTTTACACAATGCGTTAAATTTTTTAAGTTGCATCGAACATTGATGCTCTTTTTTTCTATCTCTGCCTATTCTTCCCAGACTCTCATAGCATTTGAATGTAGTATACTTTGAGAAAATAGATGTATCAGGCTAAACTTATCAGAGGCTTGATAACTGTTGTTGTGTCTGTCGAGTCTTCCTTTTCTATCTGAAGCGTGCGTAGAATTCGCGCGAGTACTCGAAACGAGGTCGTCTAATCCTGTTGCATTCCGCTTAGATTCCGACCCTAGTTTAGATCGAAAAAATGTAAATTAGACGGGCGATCGAATTACCCAGTTGAAATTTCGTACTAAAACTATTTCGAAAGTCGACGAACTACGTCAATTTTCCAATTATCCGCGTAATCGATTAAATGAGACTGCAATGAAACACTAATTGTACTAGAATTCAATACACAAGTCCAATAATCGAACAGTAATCTCAATATTTATATAGCAATCCAAAACGCAATCGGGGAGCACGTATTTCATAAAAAAAAATGCTCAACTCTCACACTCCGAGCCGTTAATCGCCCCTAAAAGTTCACTAAAAAAATGCACATATTAATCGAACTGTTTTTGCGAAACAGGATCGCGGAATGCAGGCCGAGTTGATGTACCGAAAACCTACGACGATGATGAGCTCGTCTGGTCATGGCGGTTTTCATCGCGTCGGAAGTGGTAGTCGGGGAAGCAGCGGCCGGGACTCCCGGGAGACCATACACTCCGGCCACTTTATGGTGTCAGACTTCGAAGCCGAGGCTCAGGACGACGAAGACGAACTGGCTGTGCCGGTGCCCGACGAGGAAATCACCGCTAGGCTGTCGATCATCGCTCAACCCGGTTTTGCCGTCGAGCGATTCATCGCCAACTCGTACGACAAGAGCTCGCAGCAGTTGAGCATTGAGACATCCTTGAACAAGCTCTTCCAGTGTATGTCCCTCGCCTACAGGTGAGTTCCTCCTTTTCTCCGGCGAGCTCCGCATTTTGTTTCTCGCGTGGGTGCATAGCAAATAGTGCTGTCGTTATAAAAGCTAAGTATTGTATTAAACCCGAATAATCGAACTCGCTGGTAGGCGAAACCGTCTAAATGGTCCTAGAAGTATGTTGTTCATACGGTTCTTCTCGACATTTACAATATTTTGAAGGGAACAATAAATACGAAATCGCGAAATAGTCCTTTTAGAACATAGATACTTTTCCCTGAGTTTCATTTTTTAATTCAAAATCTTAATAATATTAAAAAAAAAGAACAAAAAATTTGTATTTAATAGTAGTACAGTAAATTTTTGTCTCTCGAAATTTTATATTAATATTCTCCATCGAATAAAGTTAAGCGATATATTACAAGCTGGAATGAAATTTCTTGTAAATATATGATATACTGTTTCGGAGAATAAAAATAACTTTTATTTATAAAACGATCGAAATTCTGACATATTGAGCATCTAGCCTCGGTCTCTCCTATTGCTCGGAACCAAAAATATTGTTTTCTTTAAATTATACATAACATTTTATGTAAGATAAATGCTGGACGTTCCGCGTTCGTTGTAGCCGCGTCTCCCACGACTGCATTTCCTCCTTTCTTCTGCTATCCTGAACCAAAACACCTGTTGTATCACTCGAACTAATCGAGACGAACACATATCTCGTCGTTGGACCGCTCCACGAATTAACACTCAGAATCATACGAGGAGAGGAAGTGTCACTCGTCGATATCCGCATAAAAAGGCGCCGCGGCGCATTTCTCTGGAGTCCGGCAACCGGACAAATGCTGGCTGGCAGCATTCCCGCTGATAAAAGACAATTGAATTAATGAAAGAGAGGCCGTAGAACCAAACGACAACACGGCAATTAAGCGCGGCCTCGCTAAAGCCGCGACGAAACACGGCTTCTGGCCGGACAATTTCCGTTTTTCCTGTGCTGCACAGTGGGGTCAAATGAAATTTCGTGTTTCAAAAAAGGCTGCAGTTTTGAATTGATTCCGATGCCTTTTTTAAATGAAAACTAATGAAATTTGGAACAACTTTATCGAGTCAGATCTGGCCTTTATATTTCTTTTCCTAAATCAGACACAAAGTTAAATTAAAAAATTGTTTTCAATCAAATAATTCCGATAAATGCGAAAGCTCAAAACTTGTTATTTCAAAAAGAATAATAAAAAACTGTTGACATGATAGTTACAATTTAGTCTTATTCAATTCAATAGTTATTTACTAAAATTAGATACTGATATTTTAGACTTTCGCGGTGTTGTTCAATACTTCGCTTGTTTTTCAGGTTTGAACCGTGTCTTCCTTCTATTTCGTTTCGGTGTTCCATAAACATTTCAGTTTACTTCTTCAGGGAGCAGGACGACCTGAAAATTAGATGCTGTTTCAAATTCAGTTCTAAGATTTATTGAAACTATGTCAGATTTGTTTTTCAAGCCTATAATTAGGATTTAAATATTTAATTTTGATATCAACATCTGTATCTGATAATAGATGAGAAATGAAATGAGTTATCTCCTATTTGATTGAAAAATATTTCTAAATCTAACTTTTTTAAAACTGATTTAGAAGAAGAGAAGCAAAAATTCGACTGTGGTTCGTGGTAACAAAATTGTCCCAAATTTCATTAGCTTTCACTTAAAAAAAGCATTGAAGTTCGTTCGGATTTCGAAGCTGTAGCCTTTTTCGAAACATGAAATTTCATTTGATCCCACCATTGTGCGCCGCCAACGTCTCCTCTCACGAGCTCCAGTCACTGTAAACTCGGTCCAATTCAAGTTAACCCACGCTTGACCGATCCTGTTATCTCTTATCTCTTCCTACAGACGAAATTCCAGATAGAAAATCAGCTGATGTTGTGTACCATTAGCTATTAATGAAATCGGCCAAGATTTTTATGAAAAATCTTTTTATCCCTTAACGTGCGACGCGAATGATATTTTCGGATAATTTTACAAATACGGCAATGAACGGCGACGAGATGACAAGGAGGAAGCGTACGAGGCGGGAAAAATGGCATCGTCCGCAGTGTCGCGAATAAAACAGTTTCGCAATGCGTTAGTTTGAATTGTCATACGCGTGCCTGTGTGGATTTCAATAACAAGATGCAATCTGAACTCGTTTGTTGGGTGTTGCATCGTGGAAAAAAGGATAAATGTGGCGATTAATGATTCGCTTGCACAGTAATCATCGTCATTCGAAACGTATCTATCAAACTCGTTCTCGGCGACAATGTTGAGCGCGGAATTCGCGGTGAAGTTGTATGAAGTTATACGAAGTTAGAAAGCCGTAACGCGACTGTGGTGTCCTGCGCGTTGATTATTTTTCTCGTTACTGTGCAATACAATGACGTCGACCTGCGGTGCTACCCAGTGGTCTTCCAGCGGTATCCTTTCTGCGAACGTCGTGCCGTACAAAATTAATTCGGTATGTAAGCGCGTAATTCTCTCTCTCTCCTTCCCCTCTCCCCTTCTCCCTCTCTCTCTCTCTCTCTCTCTCTCTCTCTCTCTCTCTC